AGATAGAAGATGCGTAAAGAATAAAGGTGGTTGGCCAGTTGCATATACTTTGATGATTTTATTCTCAGCTGCATATATTTTGCTCTTTATCTTCTTGATCCTCTTTAGCATCATGTCATCATCGATCCTACCTTTTGAAATTTCCTGCTTGCTTCTTGATGCAATGAGGGAGTTTGAATTGGCTAGTATCTGTAAGTATGATTTTGATTTTATAATTATAAATATATTTTTTAAAATCTTTTTAATCACCTTCCATCTCACATATATTGTTACATCACAAAATTTCTGACTGTATTATTCTGATTTCTCTCTTTTCAACGAAAGTATACCATGTAATAATTTTATTGCAATTTCCAAGAATTTGAAATTAATGTACATATTCAGTATCAAAGAGCAGCTGTGCACAGGCTAAAAATCAAAATAGGCCAGTCTTCAACTTGTGCAGCTTGCTATCCCAAAAAAAGAAAAAAAAAAAGTATACTTCTAAAGGAAGAGTTGGACACGAAAGATATGAAGTACCTGATTCCTCAAGATACTCAACTCAGATACAGCTATTGGAGAGGTGAAGACTTGATGTAACGGACACTCGGAATACTCTGTAACCAATTGTAGTGAAAAAGCTAACAGATGGCTTTGACCAAAGAAACTTTTAACAATTCTTGTTGTGGGCTCAGAAAGGCACGAGGGCAATGACAAGCATGTTCCACGGACGTCCTCATAAGTCATAATAGGGAAAGGGGGGCTTCCATAAAAATTTTGCTGCTCGGCTTCTCCAAAAGTGTCTGGATCACTTAGCAGCACCATCAACTTTCAACTATCAAGTTCCACACGCCAATTCTCATTGTGGGTGAAATATCTAGCATTCCCCAATTTTAAAGGTAGCTTAATAATTGTTCTGCGAAAGTATGTTCTTGCCTTCTTGGGGGACAGCCTCAGTTGAGGTCGGTTGTGTTGTGGTCCGGTCGCATGCATTGGTCCAAAACATGACAAGATGATACCACTCCGCAAATTTTCAAAAATTGATTATATAAATACGCCCTCCAAAATATTATTCTTGGGGTAGTCAAAATAGAAGATGCACGTCTTTACCATGCATATAATAAACCTTTAACGTGTGGTTTTTCATGCATCGATGTTTATATGAACCTCCTAATAGTGCTGCATTGATTCGAGACAACGTGTTTGTACTAGAGACACGCTTTTTAGTGCCGTAATCAACTTTTCTTAACACTAAATTAGTTTGGTTAAATAGTTTCCTTAGTTTGGTGAGAATGATTGACTTATGGTACTTGTGGAACCTTAAGTGATTAGAAGTGAGAAAAATGGCAATAAGTTCACATTCCCCTTTTATCAGTTGGGATATACCTAAAACCTAAAGGTGTTGAAAGGGGGATCTGTATATTGCTGCCCACCTTCGTAGACTCCATGTGAAGACTAGTATCAATCTTGCCCAATTGTCCTAATGGTATTGAAAGTCAGGAGGCCCCTATCCTCCCACTTTTGGATTTGAATCTTGATGTGATTCCCAAACCAAAAACTGACCTTATATTTCTCCTTCTAATTTTACGCCCCCCTGCCTGTATAAAAGGCGCCCATGGTCTATATTCGTTTTGAGTACAGAAGCATCATTTAACAATTGGCTTCAGTAGATTTGCACATCTTTTATTTATGAGAAAGAGGAGAATGGCTGCCATGACATTTGATCCCAGCTTGAGCCTTGAGTTCAACAAAGAACAAAATCAGCAACATGGAGTTCATGAAGAAATTGAAGGGCTTATTAAGGTTTACAAAGATGGGCACGTGGAAAGACCCCAGATTGTGCCAAGTGTTACGTGTGCCGTGGCTCCAGATCAAGCCCTGACCTCCACAGATATCGTCATTGACAAATGTACAAACGTTTGGGCGCGGTTTTACGTGCCCAAATGCCATGCCAAACTCCCTTTACTAGTATACTTTCATGGTGGTGGATTTTGCGTCGGTTCAGCTTCTTGGAGTTGCTACCATGAATTTCTTGCAAAATTAGCATCAAAAGCCAATTGTGTGATCATGTCAGTCAACTATCGTCTGGCCCCAGAAAACCCTCTTCCGGCAGCATATGATGATGGCATTAAGGCCCTTTTTTGGGTCAAACAACAAGCCTTCAGTGCAGCCAATGACTGGTTCACTAGCAAATGCAACCTCTCCAGCATCTTCCTTGCTGGTGATAGTGCTGGTGCAAATATCGCCTACAACATCGCCATCCGCCTGGGATCGCCCGGTGGCAAGTTGGAAGCCTTGAGCCCATTAGGCTTTAAGGGGGCGATCTTGATTCAACCATTTTTTGGAGGAGAGTCCAGAACTTACTCAGAGAAGTATATGGTGCAGCCGCCTAGGTCAGCGCTTACTTTGGCGGCATCAGATACATATTGGAGGCTATCTTTGCCGGTGGGGGCGAACCGTGACCACCCCTGGTGCAATCCACTAGCAAAAGGGGCTCCAAAATTGGAGGATATAAGGCTTGTGCCAATGGTGGTTTGTATTTCTGAAATGGACATATTGAAAGACAGAAATTTGGAGGTTTGCAATGCTTTAGTTAGTGCTGGTAAGAAAGTCGAGCATGGGGTGTCTAAAGGGGTTGGGCATGCATTTCAGATTCTAAACAAGTCTCAGATCGCTATAACTCGAACTGACGAGTTAATCTTCCAAATCAAGAACTTCATCAGTAGATAGTCAATAATCCGGGCTTTTGTGTAATATTTTCATTTGTAATTAGAAGCAAAGTGTATGGTTGAAATATATGTATATTTTCTTTTGGTGTTGCCTTGTTATTCTCTTTCTTGATTTTCCTTTTTGCCTTTTTCGTCCGTTTAAAATGCTACTGATAGTTCTATTGCTGGTGTTAATTTGGTGTGCAATTGCGCACTAACTTTGACATCCCACATGCAAGTTCCACCAACTAGTTTTCTATCATTGTCCTCGAGTTTGCGTGTATATGAATCAAGAAATGTACACGATTTGCTTTTTTGTCATTCATCCGTCTTTTATCTGTTTTCCGAAGTATTAACACCTTCTGTTCGAAAACATTTGTATGTCCCACTTTTCATCTCTAATTTGTTGTCTTCACTTTTTTCTAGTACTAGTACTTAAGGCTTTGTTTGCAGTATATGGTCCCATTTTTGGTCAAACCAATGGCTGTGTTGCCTTTACTTTTAATCATATGCTTTTTCTTGAACTTTAAATCACATAACAATCTCCACTGGTAGCTCGGGTTAATTCAAGGAAATAGCATTTCGACCAAAGAATATATTGATCGTCTTCCATTTTTCATTTCTCATCATATAGTTTTGTGGAGCTATTCAGGATGGGCAAATGGTTAGTCTAGTATAGCTATAATCGACTACTTTAGTGTGAATCTATGCACGCAATCTATGTATAGGGAGAATGCCCGACTGCTACAAAACAAACAAATTTTATATCATTATCTAGAAAAGTGATTAAAATCTTTGTTCTCCCACTGATTAACACTGGCAGAGCTAAAACCTGTCGTAGTGGGTGCAAGATTGTACATCTTAAATAACGTCATTATTATGTAAAAAAAATTCTACTTGAGATTATGTTTTTATTTGGATTTTTGCTTTAAACTCTCTAAAATTATTCCTTGCTTAAACAGTAATCAAATTGTATTTTAGTTTTGAAACAATTATACCATAGAAGAAATTGGTTGATTAGGTAGGTGATGTGAGGAGAGACGAGGACTTTTCAAGATACAGGGGAGCGATGTCGATGGAGAAGGATATTTCCAAAAAATTGAAGGGGCGATTGTGATAAAAACTTAAAAATTTATAAAAAAGTTTCAAGCCTTCTTCTGAAAATTTTTGAAGTTGATGGGGCAATGTATCATGATTTGGTTCTCATCTTTATACAATTGAATAAATATAGTGCAAAACGAAAGGTTCCCACAAATTATCTAAAATTAAAATTAGTTTAACTTAGCACAATTCTATCTGAATTAACAGACTATGGACACAACTTGAAATGTTGAGTCTAATATTCATTTTCATGCTAGTAATATTTTACTACAAGTAACAAGTTTAGAATCAGAATAGTGAATTGTGAGAAGCTTTTATATAACTAAGTGGAGATATGTTGCTTTCGCCCATTTGATAATTTGCTCTCAGTTACGTGCTTCGTCGCAACTCGAAAGCAATTCCACATGCATCCCTCGAATAAAACTTCTATGACGAAATCGTTGATTTCACGGTGCCAAGCAGACTCGATTTGATAGCTGTACCAATATAGATATATTCTGATGCTTTTCCTTTTTAAGTTTGCCTAAGTCGTGGGGGTGGAATAGTATCCGTCAAAGCATGCTGCACAAGCACAACAGGCACCTTTTTCTTGACCAAAACTTGTAACTACATGAAATTGCTCGTGCAAATCCCACTGGTTGGCTTGAGTTTCGTAAACTAGAAGAGTGGGTACTTAAAATGCTGGCATGTTGGTCACCAAAGGGGATTTAAAATTCCTCTTTAAACTAAATTATAGGTCGAGAGTTCAAATTTCACATCCTGCAATACATCCATTGAATCTAGATAGGCCTGTTTTCTTTCTAACATCGTTTGAATTTCGTACTGTATTAAGAAAAGTAAAAGCGAGTTGTTATCAAAAGCCTTTTTTTCATATGGTACCAAAATAAGACCAAATGATCCAATCCTATTATTTATGTTTGTAATCCAATAAAAATCCACATTTTAATAGTGAGGAAGAAAAAGAATGTAATTCCAGGACTTGAAAATGATGTATACTCAGTTGTACAAAATAAGATGTACTAAAATTTTGTACATGTCGGAGGAATCTTAGAGATTTCTGAGAAGGAATTGTTTGGGAGAGATTTGGAAGTTGCACTAGAATCAACTTAATAAACGGCAATGGCAGGTATTATTAATGTTTCCCCTTATGATTCAAAACCAAGCAAGTGATCAATTCAAATTGATCAAGAACAAATTCATACACTTACCAAATGATAAATTGATATACCATTATTTCAATGACAAATAAGTTACATAATAATATTTTCACTTGTATGTTTACAATGCTAAATGAAAAATTGAATGCTTTCCTTAGTTTCTAGCCCACTATATATAGAAGCTAAGGTGGTGTTTTAAAGACTATCATGAAGTTGGTTTTGCTAGTCCAAAACCGACGTTTGACCATCATGAAGGTCCGAGGATGAGGCCATCAAACGGTTCATCACCCTAGTTACTTCCTGCATGATTTTAGTAGCTCAAATAATCTTTGCTCAAATGAGTGTTTCCAGAAATCTTCATGAAGTCTTTTCCCTGTCAAAAACAAGGAAAAAAAAAAAAGAATACATAATCTGATACAAATGCTAACTCCAAATCTCAGACAAATAATAATGAAGGAACGGTCCAAATAACGTGACCAAGCCTGTTCATGGGCATCCATTTTGGAGGAATGTTCCAAACTTCATCATAATAATATGTAAAGTAAAATAAAATAAAATAGATACTATGATACAAGCTAGTGAATTTATATCATATCTACAATATTCACAGTTGTCGAGAAACTTTAAAGTACCTGGACAGGGGATGCTCTAGGTTTAGGGTACTTGTTCTTCTTCCAGCTTCTCACTTACTTCTGTCATGATACTTGATTTTGCTCTTCTGTGGGAGATCAGAAGAATGATTTCTTAACGCAGATGGAAAGTGTGGCGTTGGCTGTGCTTTGTGGAGAGCTTCTTGGTTGTGGGCCTGTTTAAACTGCTCTCAAGGAGGAAGAAATCAACTGCTGAAATCTTTTGGTCTTTTTTCTTGAGTTGGTGGTTGAAATGTTTTGGCACGAGCCACCCTTCTTTTCTTATTGCCTCAACCCCCAGGTAAGTTGCAACCACTCCAAATAATCAAAGTTGCATTGAGCCTGCGGAATATCTCACAGAAGCTTACGGAAATGCCTTGAACAAAAAGAGTTTTGGGGACGCAGTCATATTTTTACACATAATTTCCGTACAATACACATTTATTTTGAATAATATGATATGTTAGGACATTCCCTCAGAAAATTTGTCAATTTGGAGTGATCGAAAAGGTCTTCTTTCTATTCACATTATGTTCATGAATAAAAGGCTTTCTTTTTTTCTTTTTTTTTTTGAATATGCACTCGTTCAGACAGAAATAAGTTTATGGTCAATCTTCCATCTCTACTCGTTAAAAGTAAGACATAAGTTTATTTGAAGAAGGTTGGACTTGGAACGAAATTGAAACCATGTTCATTGATATTATATCCCCAACTATAAAGATCAAAAAGTCAAAAAGAGAGGTCACGTGCATTCTCCTCTTTAATTCAAGCACAATGCAGCTTGTCATTGATCTGTAATTTTACAAGTGACAGACATGTACATTAGCAACAAGCATCCTCGAATTATCTGTGAACAATATTCAGGAATTGCCATATACTAGCACTCAGCCGAGTGAAGGGAGAAAATCAACACTAAACTTTGAATTAGCTATTTCAATCAGACAGTCTTTATCCAGAAACACCAGGAAAAGAAACCGGAATAAAAATTTCTGTGATGAATTCTCGTCTGATAAAACAGTCTAGCTGGACATCATAACACTGTCAATTGATTGAAGTGCCTGATTGGCATAATAACGGACATCAACATCAGGATCCTCAGCAAGCTCTACCAGACATGGACGAATCGTTTTCTCCACCACCTAAGCACCAACAAAGTCCCAATATTTGCATATAAAACAAAGAAGTCAAAGTTAACCGAACTCAACATGTGAAAAGAGCAAGATTCAGAGAAAAACAAGCAATGCTTACTGATTGGTCAACAATATGAATCAGGGACTGCAACACCTTCGCCACATTAAATTTAATGTTCGGAACCCTGAAGAGAGAACATGTCAGAACTGCAGGTTCAGGAAGCTATCCAATCAAGCCTACTAACACCAAATTAAATATGCGAAAGTCAATGACCTGTCCTTCGATGCAGTGACGACCACCGGCAGCAACTTAGAACAAGTAATCTCAGAGCCCATGACAGGAGCAAGTAATGAAATTGCGCGAAGAATGGTCATCCGATACAAATAATGTGGATTGTTTGTCATATCCAAAACCTGTAGAAAGGTGCTTTAACATTTATTTTATCTAAGGGAATAACAAAGCACCATACATGCAAGGAAGCAAGAAACTAGAACCACATGGTTCCAATTTTAAATTACTTTTCAACTTGCACAATCAGATAAAGTTCTTAATTTTGTTCCCCGTTTTCTAATTTTTCAAAGTTATCTTTTTCCCCATATTTTTTGTGCTAAAACACAACAAGAAAATGATATATTCCATGGTCTTGACTCTTGCCTCAGTATTAGAGAAAACAGTCAAAACATGTGACCACTAAAAAAGAATACCATTCGACTACAACTTTTATAGAAGACATTAATGATCACTTTAATGGTACAAACAACTATGATGATACAAACGCTTAGCTGGTTCTGCAGCTTGATACCGAGCAAACTCATTTTACTGCTGGTTCTGCTACAGGCCTTCTCCGAAGAAAAATGATGCAACAATTGCATTATCAATAATTTAACACCCTTTAAGCACCATTTTCTCCACTTAGATTCAGTCTATTTCTAAAATTTTAAAAACCAGGTCCACTAGGTATAATACCGGAAAAGTTTAAAACCAGCCAAGTTGCAGGTGCATTCTAAGTTGATTTTTACCACTTAAAATTCACTTGAGCAGCAGATTACCTCCAGATCTTAATTACTCGGTACGAGGTACATGGACAGACTGATTCAGAGTCATTTTTAATAAGAACAATCATTTTGCACAGCTGGCAACCCCAAGCAAATCAAAAGAGAGAGATAGAGAAGGGAAAAAATGCATCTCATAGTTGAGTACTCGGACAAACCTGAGGAATGATATGCTGCATTGCCCACTCCGGACCAAATTCTTCTGCCAGGCGTTTCAAATTATTAGCAGCAGCATCTCGAATTGAATAAACCTGCATGACAAATTTTTCTGTAAAGCCAAAAATGTATTTGCAATTATATACCAACTACATGTCCAACGAGGATAAGATGGATTTTCTTGAAAACATTATGCTTAGTGGGTTGATGGGCAAAATTGAATGCTGCAAAAATATTCACACTAAAGAGATGATACAAGTGGAAGTATTGTTTTGATGATTTTTATTGAGATGAATGAATATCTGCAAAAAACCAAAGAAAAGTAAAAGCTGGCATAGGAAGAAAACAGAACTGAATGGAAGAATAGGTAGGTTGTTTTCCCACTCGAACAGGTAAGCATTCATTAGCATAGAAAGTACGTCTCTCCCACATTAATTTATTTTGGATATCCACACTCTGATGTCATCAGACTTATAGTCATCAACTTCAGTTACAAGGAAACTTTACATAGTACCACCAACCTTGTCCTGTAGCCACTGCATGCAAAGGGCACCAAGCTTGTCATCGAAAAAACCTACACCCAATTGACTAGCCAACAGCGGTATGTATTCAATAATTGCAAGGCGAACTCTCCAATGCCTATCCTCTGCAAGCTCAACAATAGCTGGTAATAGAGATTGCGACAACAAGTCGATTCCTATAACCTGCAATGTTGAGCAATTAGATACCAATATAAATCAGTAGAGAGATATACTCAACAGCATGAAAAAATGCATGACAAATACAAAATTTGAAACCAAGATAAACCATGTCATTGGAAAAGGACCACGTTACAAGAAAAAAGATAACACTGCAAGTTTTTTTTTAGTGGAAAAAATACTAAATTACAAAAAATAATGATAATAACACCAGAGTTTTTTTTTTTTTTGGGTAGAAAAAATACTAAATTGCGAGCACTTAGTATAATTATTTAGCAGTTAAAGTAATGAATCATCAGTCAAAACACTAAGACTACTACTATCTAAGTCATTGATCAACAACTGATCCATGTCGTAGCCAAAAGTAGAATGACTATAGAAAATTTTACTTGCTATCCACCATCATATTTGAAGCCCAAGATATTACAAAAGGAGAATCAAAATCTTCTTTTCCTTTATCCAAGTTTGCAAAGCACATAAACTACACCTAGTTACATGCCAAAATCTCAACACGAGATGCATATATCATACACGAAAAGAAACTGAAGATAGATGAAGAAAGGAGAGCATTTGGAAAACACAGTAAATAAGATCCAAAACACTAAACATCACAGACCTGATTGACTTGATCGAGCTTGCTAATAATATTAAGGCGTACATCAGGGAATTCATCTTTCAAGAGGGAAAGAAAAATTGGGAGAAGTTGTTCAATTGTCGCATCCTGCATTGGATAGGAAATTCAGTGAAATGCAATCTTGATGAAAGCACAAAGTACACAAGAAAATAAGCAAAAATAGCTGTAATAAGTTATATTGACATCATAGCAGAGCACTACAGTACAAAAAGTTCAAGATCAGTAAAAGATTTCTGCAATATAAACCTATACCAGAAGCATTGAATAAAAAAGAATTACCAACAGAACTGTTTCCCCTTGCTAGGTAAAATACAAATATGAAGCAACTAAACATGTTCACCAACCAGTGGAATTTACCAAGAGGATAATGTTCTTTGGCTTAGCATGGGTAGCACAGATAACTGCATAGATATTTTCAGTATAAAATATAAATAAATGGAAAGGCTACCTTTCCTAGAACAGGAGCCATTCCCATTATAACAGAAGCCAAAGCTGATCGAACATGCTGGGAAGAATCTGATGATAATTCCTGAAAGTTGCAAAATAGAGGCACATATCATACATGACATGAACAATAAGGTCATCACCAAGCAGCAATTCAGGTTAGTTAAGTAAGTACCTTCACACAGGGAAGAATATGCTGAATAGCAAGTTCTGGATTAAGAATCCGACAAAATTTGGTGACTTTACCAGCAGCTGCTATACGCACTTCAGCTTCATTATCACGAAGTAGGCGCACATAAGCAGGAACCAAATCCGTCCTTAAATGGCATCATAATTACCATCAGTCAGAAGTCTCATAAGGAGACCGCTTCCTCCATAGAAGCAAAAGATAAGATAATAAATTTACAAAGAATAAAATATGCAGATAATGCAAGATATATATTCAGGTACAACAGCTTTACCATCGGGAAAAAAATGATAAGCAGAAATCTCAGTGTTGATGAACTAAGTGCCAATTGGAAATTTGGCCATTGCCAAAGTTTAAATCAAGGTTAAATGACTTCAAGTTTTTCAATATCGCACAATCAGCAGGCATGCACAATGTAAGTTTAAATACAAGATACCTTGTAGGTTCAGGTCCAACAGCTTCGCAAAGCTCATACAATTGGTTCGCAACCATGTATCTGACACGCCAAGACTTGTCCTGAGTTAACAGACAACATAAGAACCATTCAGACAGCAAGTTATCAAGATATTTTACATAACCAAAACAAGTCTAGAAATCTATAGCAAAACAGCTAGACTCAGAAAGGCAATAGCAGCATCCTCAGTACAGACAATGTCATCTGGACCATCCTCTTCCTTCTCAACTCAAGTTTTCAGCTATGCTTCCCCTAATTTGTCGGCAGAAATCCTTAGTTTGTCAAGGTAATTACACTATCATTTTCTATTTCTCCATGTTGAATGCATCAATGTTTTTTATTGATTTTGGATGCCATTGTGACGTATGTCTACAAAGATGGAAATCTAAAAAACCTTGCAAACCATCAAAAACAGATCTGCTTCTAATGATAATAACACTGCTTGAAAACTCAAAGGTTTCTGGTTCCAAACCCCATTAAACCTACAACCATGCTCACTCTTCCCCATTAAAAATATTTTGCTTCCTACCACAAAGCTTGTAGTTACCAAAAAAAAAAAAAGATAAGTGAATGGACCCCTTCTGAGTACCTGGGAGAAGTTAACAATGACAGGGAGTA